GAGAGGCTTAAGAAGAAGAGAGATGCCACCGATGCCCTCCTTAGGAAAGCTAAAGTTCACTCTAGTTTTCCGTCCACTACAGCCTTTTTCCAGCAGTCCAAGGAGGACGAGGACGCTGATCTGGCACAGCTTGGTAAATCCCTCGAGAAGCATGCCAACGACTACAGAGACCTGGAGAATGCTTTGAAAGCCAAATTTAGCTCGATCATGTCACTGGAGCCCCTAAACAGGGTAAATCAACTACAAAGTGAGGTACAACATGCGAAGAAGGATATCATAAGGCTGCATGACTACAACATCAACCTGGAGGGCAAGATGTCGACAGTGCAGGATAAGGTCGGCTCATTCATTAGCCTGCAAGATAGGGTTAACTCGCTTGAGAAGTCTACCTCATATCACGCAAAACTTACCAGAGAGAATGCCGAGCGTGTCACCAAAATAAACGCGGATCTGGAAACCACGTTGGCATCGAAGGAGCAAGAAATCAACTCGGCCGCTTCCAAGACACAGATGGATGAGTTAAGGAAGCAGACCTCGGACTTGACCAGGCAGATCGAAGTCTTGCAGAAGTCCCAACGTGAATGCTCCGATTATTTGAATAAGATGAACAGGAGTATGGACGATCATCGCCGGCAACAGGACACCCGGAGCATGGAGAACACACGATCGTTGACATCGCTTACTGCACGCCTAACTTCGGTCGAAGAGAAGAATAACCGGCTCCCCTCCCCTGCTGTAGTGACTGCGCCTGAGCCTTCAGCCAAGTCTGAAGAACTGGCGTCCCGATTACAGAAGCTGGAAGGGGAACTCTCGGGACAGCACGAGCGTCGCATCAAACAAATGGAAGATCAGCTCCAAGGACTGCAAACAATACAACAGATGAAAGACGACTTTCAATTTAAGGAAATCGAGGATCTCAAAAAAGTGTGGGATAGAGGCGCCCAAGAATTCGAACAGATCAGGAGCGACTATGCCCGGGTCAGCGAGGAGCTGAAAGGCCTGAGCCAAGCTCAAGCAGAAGCAAACCCCGCTGGGGTTCAGGCGCATGTTCAAGGGATTGCTTCCGGACTTATGAACATGCAAAATATGGTTGAAACTTTGAGAGTTGCATTACATTCCCTCGAAACTCGGTACAACAATTTATCTACAGATACCATTGTGAAACACATGGTGGTGGCTATGCAAGAGATGTACCCATCAACCGCGCAGCTGACTGAACAAATAAACCTCATTAGAGCATGGTTTGAGCGGGATATCCCTCCATTGAAAGCGATAACGGAACGTCTGCACTTGCATCAGGTGAATTTGGTGGAACAGACACAGAAAGACATGGCTTTGAGAATGGAGGAAATCAATCGCCTGAGGAGCCAACAGACAAATCTCTCCCAGTCGCTCGCCCCGGTCTGGGAGCGACTTACGGCTCAAAACCAGAATCGTTGGCTCACCGCTGATGATCTGCGGCAAATGCAGAATGATCTGACATCTCTGGCGGCAAAGATTGATGAACATACGAACAAACTCGACGGATACGTGGAGTCGCGCGAGGCAAAGGATCAACTGCTCCACGACGACCTAACAACGGGCAGAAACAACCTGCACATGCAGCTCCACGCCATTGCCGAAAGGCAAACGGAACTTGAGAAAATATGTTCTGAATTTCAGAAGGCCAATGATCTACCGGAACAAGTCCGAGCCCTTGCCGTGAAACAGGAGGAGTTAATGAAGGGTTTCAGCAACTCGCAGAATGACGATTGGAAAGACCAATTCAAGGAGCTAGCTGATAAGCAGGAAAACCTGGCCAGAAGTCTGTCTGTATATCGGGAGGAGGGCCTGCAAGATCAGGTCAGGGCTCTGGCAGATGAACAGAAGCAGCTACTCGAGAAATTCTCTGATTCTCAACAAGACAAGATACGGAGGCAAATCAAGTCTTTGATTGACGAACAGAAAACATTGGCTGGGAGACTCGTCAAAACCCAGGAGGAACACGATCAGCTTAAAGCTCTTGTCGAAGCTCAAGAAGACCTCGCAAAGAAACTTTGTGAGATCCAATCGAGCAATGAAGACGACTTGAAGGTGTTGAAAGCCTGTCCAGATGAGCTCAAAGCAGTACTTGACCGTGTTTGTCAACTTGAAACCTCCACGCTCGAAAAATATCAGACTGTTGTGGAAGAACATAAACTACTGGAAGGCTCGACGTCGAAGAATCTGACAGGTCTAACTGAAAGGGTGGATGGCCTAATGAAACTGGTCGAGAGCAGCCAGCAACCCCCACAACTAGAAGCGCCCCCTCAGCAAGGGAACAATCCCGATGCAATGAAAGATGAGGATGAAGCCAACGATCAGGATTCCGAGGTCGCCAGGTTCATGAGCATGGTTGAAACAACCCCAGCACGTGCCCTAAAAGAGAGGAAGAGAAAACGGCCTATTACATCTAATAATGCATCCGACGAAGATCGTTCCAGCTTAAGTCGGCCCGAATCACCGACTTCCAATGCTGCAGGCTCTGCTGCAGGAGACGCCGGGCCATCAACCGACAGGAAAAGCAAGAAAAAGAAGGGAAAGAAGCGGAAATTACAAAAGAACAAAGGACCGCAGGCATCAGGCAACGTAATAACGATTGACTGAAGGGGGGTTGTAGGTGTATAAGGCTAAAGGTTACCCCCCTGGAGGGAGCATTCTGAAGCAGTACACATCACGAGATTACGAATGTTATGAATCAGTCGTTAGTCTGAAGAAAGAAGAAGGAAAAGTTGGTTTCAATTTTGCTGGATATCCCCTTGTCAAAATTTTTTTTTTTTTTTTTTTTTTCTTATTTTCCCCTCCACTCTTCTTGTGGTCCTGGGCGCCGTAAGCCCAGTCCTCTCTTACTTTCTTCTGTTCAATAGTCTTTTCTTATCTTTCAAGGTCACGGAGGTAGGGGCAAAAGGGACCTGCACATAAGCAAGAATGTACAAGTGGAGTCTGAGTCAGTTCTGTCTTGTCTGTCTATACATCCATCCATCAAACCAAGCATGACTGTAGCAATAAATCAGGGAGCCTCCTGAAGGAATTTCAGAACAGCTATTAAGCAAAAAGCACACACATCAGCAAATCATCCTACCCAATCAGATAAATAGAATCAAATACTACTACTCACCTTGCCTGAACCCTTCCGGGTTCTCCGAAATCAACCAATGCCCAGCCTCCACATCCGCAACGCGAGCATTGGGGAAGAACTTCTTAATAATCGGCACCGACTCATCGCTCACATATCTGCTCTTCGTGCCCCTCACAAACAGCGTAGGGCCCTCATATGAAACAGATCCCGGCTCCCGGTACGGGAAGTCAGCCATACCAGGGATGGCTTCGCCGAGGACGGCGAGCGGGACACGGAATTTCATGGTTTGGTCTTCCGTCGAGCGGACCAGGTTGGTGAGGAGGAATTGGCGGATGGGGAGGGACTGTCACAGATTTAGTTTAGTTGATTGTTATGTGCACACATTGAGCGCAGTTTGCATATATTCGCTGCTCGGACTTACCTCCTCATATCCCTTCAGAATCTCGTCAGCCTCGGATTGCTTCGTCACATTAGCAGCCTCGACATGCTGCATGCCACGAACGTAGAGGCCGAAATCGCTCTTCAGGGGTGCATTCACGGGCGCGTTGTCAACTGGTACTAGAGCCGAGACTAATTTGGGTGAATGGAGAGCAACTGTCATGGCGGTTTTGGCGCCCCTGGTTGTTATTGGCCATTAGTTTAGTGGTCTTGTTACATTTGTCTTCATATGCATTCTGCGGAATGTTTGTGGAGTATCAGACGAATATGTAGTAAGTAGGCCATGACGTACATCGAGTGGCCGATCAGAACGGCCTTGTCTAGCTTCAGCTGCTGGATGAACTTGATCACGTCTTCGGCCATGACGGAGTAGTTGTGTTCTTGTGCGTGAAAAGATTGGCCATGGTTGCGGAGGTCCTGAAGAACAAACACAAGTATGAATCACTGTTTTGATTCCAAATTCTTCTTCTTCTTTTTCATAACTGATTACACACCACTGTGAAGATCTCACGTCTCAGATCACGTGCCAGTGCTCTGCATGGTGGTTAGTAGCTTTCCTTTTCACTGGACGTTCGTCTTCTGAGGACAATTGATTGACAAAGGAATGCGTACTTGCTAATACCCCGGTTATTCTGCTTCGAGCCGAACAGCCCATGAAGGAAGATGATAGGACTCCGATCAATAACATCGGCTTTCTCGGGCCCAAACACCTGGTAGGACAGGTCTGTTCGGAGGCCTCGTGATGTGGAGAATAAGCGGGCGCCCTGGGCGGCGCTTCGAAAGGTCGTACGGATTGGTTGGAGCATGGTTATGAGTGGCGAGTATGATGGTGATGACGATGCTATCTGAAAACTGCGATTGATCTGAGGGTTTATCTTGAGTTTGGTGCATTTAAGCATTGAAGATCAGCAGCTGCCTTGGGGATATGACTAAGCAGCTGGGGAGGGAGGTTTTGCCGTTGTCCCGTCGGCTTAATGGGATTGTCGTGCAGCAATATCCGGATGTCTTGGCTTGACAGGGGTATATATGTCGGAGGTGAAATGTCGTTTGCTCTTTGTGCTGGGGATGGTTTTGGTTTGTGCTACGTTGCACTGCTGGTATTGCATTGATGATGGAGTGATTGTGGTAGTGGATTGTAGGGGCTTGAGTACTACTTGGATCTTATCTGATCTCGGGTCAAAATATATATCGATAACTTGCATCATCGCTCTCTATTGCCGATTATCCAACTTCAACAATCACCAAACAATGATGGATTTATGCTGAACCCCTCACTTCGGGTTTTATTCGGAGTGTCTCGCTGCAACAGCGCACTTCCGACTTACGCTTAGGCCTCTAAATGATCGTACGATGCGAAAACAGCCGCGAAATTGAATCCGAGGTTTACGATCTGCGAACTGAGATGGTGAGCACGGCTGATTTGGTTCCTCAGTCAGAACAATATTTGGCAGAAACTGATCTTCATACGCGCACGCCAGCTTGACTCCGTTAATTCTGAGTCGCACTGATTTAGCTGAAGTTCACTGAAGTCTGTGAGACAGCCCCGTTGTCCCACAGATGTACTTGTCATGCCTAAATGCGCGCTCTAGGGTGGTTCTCTTCTCACTATTCAACACTCGAATCGTAAATCGTCTATTTCAGGAGCTTCATCGAAGTAAATGTATATACAAGACATAGATATCGTCGTCATATCCACCATGATATCCCCCGCTTATTCCTAAAATTGGTACACTGACACCTCATATTTAGGCGTCCAGAAGAGGAGGGACCTTCTCGCAAAGGTATTCAACAATGGCGTCGGGGCCGCGCTCGACCTGGAGGCCCTCGGGGATAGCGTGCAGCTTGATGTCGGGCTTGATCGACCGGGCAATGGAGTGGATCTCGTTGGCCTGCTCGGCGGACCACATGGAGGCGCTGAACTGCAGAGGAAGTTAGCCACGAGTCATTATAGCAGTAGTCGCTTTACCCCGCATTGTAGAGGAAGCTCGAATGAAGAGAACGTACCAGGACATCGGGCATGTGCTGCCTGACCTTGGGCTCGACTTCCTCGATCTCTGTTCGCAAATTCAGTCAGTATCAACCGTCACTAAGTCCCGTAAAGGAATTCAAAGTCACAGGTACTTACTCTCGCAGTTGTCAATGTGGATGATGGTGTAACGGTCCGAAAGGGCCTCAGCAACCCGTCCGATGAGGCGCTTGGCCCTCTCGGGAGCGGTGTTGACAGTGACGAGCTTGAAGGGTCCCTTGGGAGCAGACATTGTGACAGGTTATGTGCAGAGTAGTTTTCTGAATGACTTGAAACAGACTCGACGACTGCGACACTGTTCGCTTTTAAACGGAGAGCATGCGATTTCGCAGTTCAACCGGCACGACAAGCCGCGGGCGACATCCCCACGTTGTCGTGGGGAAGTGGGCTGTTTAGCGTATTCGCCGCCGGCTTTCGCCCGAGGCTCGGAAATCGAAAGCGTTGAAGTCAAGTCTTGGAGGGGAGCAAGTGTTTGGTTCCTGCGAAAGAAGTCGAATGCGGACTGGCTGCTGAGAAACGGATCGGTTCCCACCGGCAAAGGCAGTTGAGGGATTGCCCCTCCCACTTTGCTTGCCCCCCCCACCCCGCGCGCATTGAGCTTCCCGGCCGGCCACCAGAACTGCACCCCGCGACGATATCGGGGTAGAAATATCCCGTGAGCGTACTTCAAAAGAGACATCGCCTCAATTGATCCCTGCTCCCTGACTTGCATTTCTGTTGTTCATCAATTCCTCCTTCCTCTTCCACAAAATCTCATCATGTCCAAGGTCGCATCTACCTTCTCGCGTATGTGGAAACGACCTTGCCTCTGCAGCTGTGTTGCTAACGCCATCCAGGCCTCGTGCGCTTCGTCCCCAAGTCGAACCCTTCTAAGGTTCTGATCGGTGAGCCCGTCGACGCCGCCGTAGATGTTGGATTGGCCGTCTACCAGGGCAAGGATGTCGCTGTGCGCCCTTTCTCCGGTAGCTCCGTCCTCAGCCCCGGCCAGAAGACCGACTCGACCGAGACCATTGAGCGCGTTCTCTCGCCTCTGGCGCAGAGCGAAGTCGGCTCCATCAGATGCATCGGACTGAACGTAGGTTTGACGTTGATCGCAGCTTAGCTGTCTAGCGGATGCGCAAGAAACTAACCCATCGCGCAGTATGTCTCCCACGCCGCTGAGATGAAGCTGTCGATCCCCGATGTTCCCACTCTTTTCATGAAGCCCTCGACTGCCCTGTCGGACCCCTGGCCCGCTCCGACCGTTCTGCCCAAGCTCACCCAGATCGACAACACAGGTGACTATGAGTCGGAGATGGTTATTGTGATCGGTCGTGATGCGAAGGATGTCAGCGAGGCCGAGGCCCTCGACTACGTGCTCGGATATACCGCGGCCAACGATATTTCTAGCCGCACCTACCAGATGAACCAGAGCCAATGGTGCTTCTCCAAGGGCTTTGACACCTCCTGCCCGATTGGTATAGTCCACATCTGTTACAAAGGAGATATTGCTTTCCGTGCTGATGGATGAACTCTCGCAGGTCCCGTCCTCGTCTCCGCTGCCCAGGTTCCCGATGCCAGCAAGTTCCACATTCGTGGATCGAAGAACGGAAAGGTCCTTCAGGATTGCCCCTTGACGTATGGCCTCCCTTTTTATCATTCGAATTGTGTGTATCAAGAACAAAAGCTGACCAGCAACTCCGAACAGTGACCTGATCTTCAACGTGGCCCAGCTCGTCAGCTTCCTGTCCCAGGGCACCACCCTGCCTGCCGGTACTATCATCCTCACCGGTACTCCCCCCGGTGTTGGCGCCGCCAAGAACCCCAAGGAGTTCTTCAAGCACGGCGACGAGTTCGCCGTCGAGCTGCAGCCTCACGTCGGCACCCTCATCACGAAGATTGAGAACCAGGCATGAATACTATGATAATGGTACTATGAGACGGGCGGGGATTTACGGATTATGATGAGACATACTACTATACAAGAATAGCATAGAGATGTATATACTGTACGGATACCAATGAACAGGTTCATTGTTCCAATGTATAATTACATGCGTAACTATAATGAAGCCAGGTGACAAGTCCTATGATGCAAGGAGTCATCACATTGTCGCCATAATCCTCCGAGAAATGACAACACTCAACAGATGTGGGTGGTTTGCCTCCCACCCACAACCACACCCCACGCTGACTAATGTCCCCACAATCAGCCACTTTCAAGCTTTTGCCCAGCACTCATGCATTTGCAGCTAGCTGCTGCAGGCCGGAAGCCAGGACAGAAGCAAGGAGAAGAAGGCAGCTGACAAGGAGGAAACAGTTAAGCCTTGATCCCAGCACACCAAGTCTAAATAAGAACCTCAGGCACTTAACTACCAGCTTCTTAAAAAGACCCAGAAACCGTCCTGGAAGCAACAACAAAAATCCGTAAAATCCACGTAGTCTTCTTCCCCGTGTAACTCCTTACCCATCCCTTCACTACCATTACTGCATGGATGGATAAACGAAACTCGTCCTCAGAATGCAGGCTACTCACAGACTGCACCACGAATTGCCGATTCACATACACAAAATCAGTCAACATCTGCAGGAGAGGATAAAATCTTATCCTAGCGGAGTAAATCAATTCCGCTACTATGCCGAGCGACTGCGTGACCAGTCCGAACCGGAGTTTTGTGGTTAACTTCCGGGAGTAACCTTGCATTGCTGGCCAGTCAGCAAGTACTACTACTCAAGTAATCGGGCCATGTGCTGAGTTCTTCCTGACAGTTTGTAGATCAGTAAATGTATAGATTTGTATGTCTATAATAGCAATAATAAAATGTATCGAAGTGAACCGAGTACCACAAATAAAAGACATCCCGGCAATCCCCATAACAATCGATCCCGTGCAAGCATTCCGTAAAGGCGCAAGTAGCGAACCGGACGCCGTGAATCCTTCCCGATAGCAGCTAATATCGGCGGACATCGGGCCAGCCGATCGGGCCAGTAACTGCACAATGTAGGCGTGGTCTGACACTAGCAGCAACAACCACACCACTACGGGTGCTATTCATTTACATTCCCCCATTCGCTTTGCCGATACTATCAAACCATAGTATCGGACGGGCCACTTTTTCGGGGGGAATCGCTTTGGCAGCTCTCGAATTTGCCGTGATCCATCAAATAGTTATCTACTAATAAAATGTTAGTATGTCGAAAACTTTTCAATGTGGGTTTAGTTCCATCCCCATCCCTACCTCTTTTCGGAGTGAGTATATAACTACGGCGGGACCTGGGAGGGATAAACTCTTTATCCCCTGGGTTCTTTGGTTCCTTTTTCTTTTTCCCCTTTCGCTTGAGGTCTTCTTTTCTATACTTCTATACTATACTGTACTTCTACTGATTATCTTTTCTTCTTGTTGTATTCAATTCTTTTTCACTTCGATCGAGGTTTCAGATTCATATATTGTTTATTTGTTTGTCTCGCTGCTGTGCACGCTCACATCGTTATATGTCTATATACATGCTCGCCATCTATATCTAACATCTAGAAGGTCTATGCTCGCCAAGGTCGTCTCCGAAAGCAACACGCCAAATCGACTCTGAGGAAAATTATATGCAAAGTTGGAAATAAAGGAGGAACAACGCAAATGAGGATGAAAAGGGATTCGTGTCATCGGTTTACTCTGCAATGGGCGGACGCCAGCTCCGTCCTTGCCAGTGTACGACCATAGTCGGAATGATACTGACACCTGCAACGAGTGCCGCACAAATGCCAGCACTCGGTGCTACACCAACACTCTCAAACATGGATGGGAACCTAAACGACACCGATTAGCATTTGCCCATATGTGACCAGCACAGAGATGCATCCGATACTTACCAGAACGGTCCGAGGAATCCCCACATTTGTCGGACAAACGTGATGTATACTCCGACACTGCCGGCTTCCTTGTGGTAACAATCCACTGCATACGTGACAAGAACAGTCGTTACGATTTGGTTGCCACCAGCGCAGATGGCAATGCCGACGACCGGCTTTACGTTCCAGTGACCCTCCGTCGACTCCTGGGTGCAGACAAGAAATACGATCAAGCCCACAATGCACAGGATGAAGCCGATGTAACTGAGCCACAGGCGGTATTCGGGTTCCGGCTTGCGGTGGATTTTCTTTGCACGCAGATTCATCCAGCGATCCGACAACACACCACCAAGCTGCTCACCCAAAAGAGATCCGATGATAGGACCTAGGAATTGGAGTCCCAGCTGTTCAGCGTTCAGATCAAATTTAGTCTGCAGCAAACTGGGGATTTCCACAGTTGTCATTACATTGCCCAGACAGAATACCATGGCGTATGCGGCAGTGGGAATGGCAACACAAGGATGCGTGACCATGCCCAGGGGTCTGAAGAACTCCTTGAACGACAAGGGTGTAGGGTCGATGCGTCGGAGTTGAGCATACTCCCGTACCCAAGCGGGTTGTTCGGTGTCATGGTCACCTCCAATATACCGGGTCTCAGGACCCAGGAAGAGATACAAGATGAACTGGACACCGTTGATCTAAATGTTGGGATTTGGTCAGCGAAATGCTCCGTTGGACCAGTAACTCGACCGGGGCTATGGGAACACTTACAATTGCCAAGATCCAGTAAATCCATTGGTAGCCCAGCCGATACGTAACGAAGCCAAAGATGAAAGGCCCGCTGGGGATTCCCAGTGTAATCAAGAGCGTCCATATACCCATGTACCGAGCTCGGTCTTTCTTGAACGTCGTCTCCATCACCACCGCACTTCCGATCGCTTCCGCAGCCGTTAGCACTCCGTGTCACGATAGGGTAAGCATTGCGTCTTACCTGAAGCAGGGGAAATGAAGAAAGCCTGCAGAGCCCGACACACAGCCGTGGACGCGTAACTAGTGCTTTCCGCACATCCTACGTTACAGACGAGACTGCAGATTAAGGAAAGGAGGAAGATAGGGCGACGTCCCCAGCGGTTGGACAACGGTTTCCAGAAAATTGGTGCTACACCCAGGACTGCAATCTGGATGGAGGTTAAATAACTCGCATCGTTCACCGAAACACCGAAATCAGTTGCAATTCTGGTCTTATGGTCAGTAATTAAGGACAATGCGAAGGCTCCAATCGAACCTACGTTTGGTAAGCCGGGATGATGCCTGCTGCCGCAAAAGTGCCCATGCACGCATGAAACGCTACCAGGAGAAGATTTGCAATTTTCTAAACCGCGTCGAAAAAAATCCGTTAGCATGGCCGCTTATTCACGAAACCTTTGAACACTATGCAAAACGGTCCTTCAGCACCACATACCTTCCACGACGGCCAATTGTAAGGATCCGCAGGATCCATGCTGGGGATAGGATCGAGTTCCAACGTCCCATGACGTTCCATCAGATAGTCACGGTGTGCCTTGGAAAGTTCAGAAGACACGATATCGGCATATGTCGATGGGATGCCTGCTTCTGTGCTCTCTACAAAGTCGACATCTTCCTTTGCAGGTGTCTGAGACGGGTGCATCTCCATGGCCCCAGACATATTGTGAGAAGGAAAACCCTGAACTGGGGGCTTGTGGGACAATGAAAGTAGCGATTCTTTCTAAAGACTCACGACACACTTGAGGTATCCAAAAAAATGCACGTCGTCTCAGGAGTCTGAGAATGGGGAGTGGAAGAATAACAGAGAGGAGGAGGAGGAGAGAGAGAGGGAACCTATGTGATGCCTAAGAGGGAAGAGTGCCTCCCTATGCAACTAATCGGTTCACACAAAATGTTCCTAACCGGGGGGAAGAGGGAGGGTTCCACGCTCACCGGGAGATTGACCTATCACTGGGGGCGCTGGTGGTACCCTTCCTGGGGAATGATCAAACCTGGAAGTGACGAGTCCCGCGAGTCCCGCGTACTGTTGGGGCAACTCGTGGGGAAGATGCGGAGGATTCCCTACGGCACAGTCCAGTTACGAAAGCAGCAATGGTCACTATGTTCTGTCATTGAGGATAGCGCAAGATCCGCTCATTGGCCGGACCAAGCCAGAGGAGAGTGTATCGCCGCCAGAAGCAACATAACCGAGGGCCCGACTACGGAGGACTCGGGAGATCCAGAATTCAGAATGGTTCTAGTAGCGACCCATTCGGCCATGGCGGCGGCGGGTTAAGTCTTTGGAGTGGATGCGCCCCTTCCGGGGAGGAGACATGGTAGACCAATGTTTTGCCTCCAAATCTCGGTTATTCCGCTGACCAGATTTGGGGCCAACTTTGCCGAGTGAAACGGATTACAAAGTATTTGGCCAAGCAACCGGCGTCAAGCGATATGCGGACGGTAACTGCTCGGGCAGATCTCATTGTGTGATGATGAAATCACCGTGTGACCAGGAATTGATTTTATGTCTGCCTGGGGGAGAGTGAACTAACAAACACTAGTAGTTCCTACGCCCTACAAACTTGCGTCTGCTCTATGCAGATGTAAGGGGAAAGGGAAACAAGGTGTGATCGATCAGTTTGTGGGAAAGGATCTTTAGGACGCGTCTAGTAGGGACTACAGTTGTGCTACTGCTAGTCAAGATTAGGTGGGTGCTAATTACCCACACCAAATACGTAGACACGGGGTCTGGAGTAGGAGCGAGTTTGAGTGGAGTTTAACGCCTTGGCCCTTGACTCCAGTCCATCTTCCAGAGCCGCTAACAAGTGCCGGGGTGTGACACGTAAGGTACTTACAAGCTTCAGCGCTTCTACAAGGCAAATAACCCCGGCCGCCGTGTACCGATACGGTTATGTGACGTACACGTGCCAAGAGCCAAGGCAACAGCGTTGCCACCACATTTTCTGCCCCACAACTCAGGCCGGCTTCTCCTCTCTATTGTTGACACAAAACCACCTGCTTAGTTCCCTCCTTCTCCACGATTTCCCCCCCCCTTTCGCCCCCAGCCTGTCCAGCCTGTATCTTATTTGGCTTGTCCCTCGTTATCACCACTTTATCGTGGTGACTGGCTAGCTGGCTGGCCCTTGCTTGGACTATCTTGCTCGCTGGGTAACGTGGATGGGCTGTGTGTCACTATTAGTCGGAATCAACTTGATCTAGATCTATCTATTTTAATGGCTCCTTTAGTCGCCATGCCACAATCAACCACATCATCCCCTACCACCACCACATCGGCGGTCAAGACACTGATTTGCCGCGTTTGTCAAAAGGGCTTTTCTAAGGCAGAACATTTGAGGGTAACTTGCCCCTAGTGCCAATCCCATGGTGTGGAGACATCACTAATGCTGGCTTGTAGAGACATGAACGTTGTCGTAAGCATACCGCCATTGTTGATTTCCTTCCTGCTTGAGCAGACATGATCGCCACTGCATTCCGCCCTAGTAATTGTGGGAGGTCTTCCATGCAAGTCATGATGGCTAACTTGCCGCGTCTAAGATACGGGATCGAAGCCATTCATCTGCAAAGAATGTCGGCGGCCTTTTGCCCGTCAGGACGCTCTGACCCGGCATGAAAAGCTTCACACCCGCGCTGCCAACGCTAAACAGGCCCAAGTACAGCAATCATCCGTACATGTTCCTCCGCAGACGACAACTTTGGATGCTCTGCCCTGGGATGCCAGTCGCGCTCCAGCACCACCCTTAGTTTCTACCTCTGCATCTAATCAGGCATGGGAGACGTCCCAGGCTGAGCAGCATCCGGGCCTGCAACATGCAGCTTCCGATCTCGATTTCGCCCTGATTTGGCCTGACTCAGAGAATCTCTTTCAAAGTATCATGTCATCCGATGCCACCGACCAATGGCAAATGCCATTAGGGGCTTTTCCCTTCCCACCAGTTGTACAAGATGTTAATGGGATGAATTTTGGGTCACCTAATTCGTTCGACGACAGAGGGTCGTCAATAGGCACAATTCCCTCAGGTGGAAGCCACCAGGCCGTGCGGGATGTTACCGAGATGGTGACAAGCTCAGTGGGTATTCCCCAGGCTCCTTGGTCTTACTGCCCATTACTGATTTCCAAAATCACTAGTCATCAAGTGTCACAGCTGCAATCAAAGCGACCTCGATAACATCAGTCTTCTTAGATGAATGTCTGCATATGTTCTTCGTGCGATTCATCCCCACGTTCCCGGTTCTACATCGAGCAACTTTCGTTTTCCGCGAGTGTACACATCCTCTTCTTCTCAATGCTATGGCATTGGGGTCGTTATACCTGGGTCCGAAAGACTCTGTAGCTAAGGGGGAGGCTTTATGGCGCTTAGCACATACTGCTATCGCAACCTCTGTAAGTATAGTGGACGCCCGCACTGATATGATTGCTTACATTCACCCAGTGGCAATCGTTGATCACACATCGAGGCCCTTACGATGTCTGCAAAGGAGTACAGCTCCTCATCACAGCTCTTCTCGGCCAGATATACGGTGCTTTGTCTAAGGTAAGTTCAAGTCGCAAGAGTCACTTTTTCCACACATACTCACTGGTCACCTTTCATAGAATCGGGTTATCCGTACGACGAGTCAAGTCTTCCGCCCACTTGGCTTCCTATGGGCAAGGCACTGTGGGATGCTGGATGCTGACCCTTTTCCCATGGAGAATGTGCCTTTCCCAAACTCACCCAGCACAGAAAAGGAGTACAAATGGCGTACATGGGCAGCTCGAGAGATTCAACAACGCGCGTTACTCGCGTATCATATATTAGATGGCCTCGTCGCGCAGATGTCTGGTGACAGTGCATCTACTCGGCATGTAGCCAACCCTTTGCATCTCCCCAGCAGCGAAGCTGCCTTCGATGCCGGTAATGTCGACGAATGGATCGCTATCATGCGTACGCAGAAGGTGGAACAACCATCCTTCCGCTTGGTGTTCCGCTCCCTCTTTCCTCCCATCGGAAGCTTTCGACCTCTAGACTTCCAATTTTCTGCCTTTGCATTACGTGTTGTCCTAGAAGGCCTGCAGTCTCTCGTGTCTGATTCGGACGAAAGCGATCTTGCTGCCGTGGGGGTTCCTGGCCGTTCTGATGTCCGCAGAGCATTGGCTCAAGTACATGAAACTATTACTATGAGTATCCATCTCTCTGCACCGGAGCGTCTTGAGGTTCTTCTGCGTTGGCATACGATATGTCTCGACACCATGATCAACTCCACAGTCCTCTGCAGACATGTTTGTTCCCGATATGACATTACGCAACACGTTTCCGGAGGCTCCCGGACCATCAAGCCAGGATTCGACATGGCCAAATGGGTCAATACAGAAGACGCTCGTCGTGCTTTGCTGCACGCTATTGCAATCCAAGATATTGTCGAACAGCTCCCGAGAGGCAGGGCCCATGTTATCCACATGCCAAGCTCTTTGTTCTCGGCCACAACAATATACGTTGTCTTCTCTCTTGCTGGTGTGGCGAATATTCATCTCCCACGCACGATTGTCTGGCAGGACGCCCTGCTTTCGCGCGCTGATCTGAACCTCGGGTGCGAGAACATTCGCCCCTCGACTGGTTCTGAAACTCGACGTTTTGTCGAGGAAGGACGAACAGACTCTCCCCCTGGCATGGGAGCGGTGCGTAATCTGTTATATGAGATGAACTCGTTGCAGAAGTTGTTCCGCTGCATGTTCTCCCAGTGGGGCATTGCGCATGACATGGAGGAGATTATTGATCAGTGGATTACTCTCTGCCACTAGGTGGTGACAGATTCGCATGTACAGCGTGGTGTTTTCCTGTCTAGCATTTTTGGCGTCAGGTCCTGGTGACCTTTAGGTTATACGGCTACATAGAGGTTTGGTTTGTGATTTAGGTCGTATATAGACAACCGAGGGCTTTTACGTAGGTAGGAGCCTCCATCGGGACCAACCTTCCCTTAAGGATTCCCACTAGAACTGTGCATAGAAGGCCTAGTCAATCGGGCCATAACCGTGTAAGATTGTGCTACAGACCGCAGTTTCCTGCTCTGCCTGGCAGTCCGTCCCCATCACCCACATCCCCATCGCTTGCCGCTGCCGTCCCCACGTCGACTCCCCACAACCCGACTTCCTCTCAACTGCACCTTCCACACAACTCCTTTCTTGCAGCGACAGTCTCCCCTCTCTCCACAATCCCAGGTTTCAATGATCTCTGGCTCATGATCGACACTTTCAGATTGTCAATGCTACGTTGCCAAACTTTTCTCCATATCTCCCCATGGGGGATATGCACTCCACGGTGCCACAATCGAGAAGTGGTACGATGCTGCTTAGAGCCTTAGACTTAAAAGCTCAGACGCTAGTAGTGAGCGGTCCCGTCCACTTCTCTTAGCACTGCTTCGGTGCAGTAACCAAGTCAAGTAAGTTCGTTTCAGTCTCTAGGTTACTGTGTATGCCATTCCTCTCATTTCTCCAATGTCCTCTCTCAATATCAATCGAAAGTTGAAGATTTCTCTTGTGTTATCCCTTTAATCCACGCAATATACTCCAGATCGCCCGAGCCTTCCTTAATCTGTTTAAGTTAAAAGACTAGTACGGACTTCTTCGTAAAATCCAGAGCTGCCACTATTCGTTTCACAATACCAATTGGCTTGCACACAAACCCCCAGAATCTCCTGCGACCCCTTGGCTTCTTGGCCAGTGTCCTTGGGGTCTTGGAGCGTTGGTCGACGGCACACCATACAAGCAGATGTATGATTTGACATCTCACCTGCGCACTCCCGCCAATGCATGCTTTTCGGACGGGCAAGGCTGCAGACGCGTTTCGTACTGGTGCAGGGCTATGCTTTCCCTCCCCACAACGAAGAACAGCCCGTACACCGTCGACAAAGGAGCCAAACATCCAGACATCAAATGGCGCAGACGGACAGGATACGCCACACCACGTTTCCCGTGCCCAGAACAATGTTGCGCCTAGACCATATTTATGATATCTTTCCAGACAGCTGCAGTCAGATTGACACTCGGTGAAATCTCGATCCCCTGTGAAGCTCCCGTTGTCTTTGGTACGTGCTGTCCATTTGTAAAGCTCCTCAGGTGCAGACTGACCAAACAGTGCATCATGCCAAACTCGAGCATACCAGTGTTCGGGCAGAGGGGTAGCAGGATCTTGATTGACTTGTCCGCGTAACAGGTCAAGGTGCGGATTGGCACCCCACACGTATGATGCCAGGGATAAGTACCCCGCAGCATAGATAATATCGTCGTAAGAATCGGGTCTTGAATCCGGAAGCTGGTCTAATGGCTGGCGATCATAATTGCATGCACCGTACAGTGCATCCTCTTTGAGTGCCCGGGCGTGGCCTAGAGTATCAAATGCACATGCCGAATCAATGGCATACTCATGGATTCCGGTTGAGTATCGGGTGAGATAGAGTCTGTCGGCATCTGGAGAGCTGACTGCTGCTTTCATTGCATACCAGAAGCCGTCAGCCAGCCGTTCACGGAGATAGGCCTCAAGCGAAGGGAGCTTCGTTTGTCGGACTGGTCGGTCTTTGCGGGCTCTTGTTAGCAAAACACTGTTAAGAGCAGGCCCGGCCCAAGGCGCAAAGGGCTTGGAGCTACAATCATAAGTTCCGCCAACAGCTTCTTGATCGAATTGCGACTGCAACTCATTTATCATGCTCCAGCGAAGTATCGGGGCCGCTAGACCTGTGGCCTGGCCTGGCCCTGTCATAACTGAGCAGGCATAGAAAGTCGCGATACCCTTGACATAAGACCTTAGATCTTCGTACCCAGCGGGGAGCTGCACCCCTGGAGTATCACAGAGTGACGTTAAGCCTTTGCGGAATGAGCCGTTCAAGTCTTCTTCAACACCAGCAAGCATATCCAATGCTTTACTAGGCCTCACACCATGGCACCACTTGAGAGCGCGCTGCCGGCATGGCCCCGGGCATTCAAGGGCGAGGTCCTGGGTAATGACGTTCTCACTTGTTGACAGCAGATACTGCCTTGAAACACACTCACAAGCTGCGACCAACGAAAGTGCTATTAGCTCCCGATCTTCGCTGGAACTTAGAAGCCAGGCTCGAAACATGAATATGACACCAGTCTTGATACAAGCCGCGCAGCCCCCCTCTGCACCATAATGGAGTAAGGTATGCCCCAACACCGCGGCTTGATTCAACTCAGGAACATCTTCCCTGCCCCAGAGCTCACCCCCACAGGAGCAAACAACATACGCAGGCAGACCAATCCCCTTACTGCGGTAGCGATGTTTCCTCTGGCAAGTATCACTCGGAAGGGACGCCAGATAGGCGTCTTGTAGAGCAGCGCACTCGTCTCGAGAGAGCAGTGAGAGGAGTCGTCCTTTGTATGTCTTCTCTTCGAACACTTTTGTGTAGGCATTTCGACACTCGGCAGGATTCATGGTTGATTTTAGAGTGGACAATCATAGGAGGTAAAAATGTTACTTTCAGATTTCTTGAAGCCTATATCGCGTGTATTGGGAAATATTTACTCTCAGCCAAGCCATCCAGGCTGAACTATATACCCTATGCCCAAGTCCCGAAATGATACCACAGTCCTTCAATTATTCATACTTGTCAGATCGAGGCACGATGGCGTGTCATCTCTGTGTTCCATCTCACAACATATTTCGATGTCCCTTACCTGTGAATGATCTCGCGTAACACGCCAAGTACCCTCTTATGGTCAAGTACATCAACGAAACGGGTGCAATATTGAAGATAAGAGAAGAAGCAAGCAAAGTCCAAAGATCAAGAGTTCGTTGATGTTTACCAACATAAACCGACATGAACAAAATCAAAAGACTGAACTGAAGTAACCGAACAAGAACATATCAAAACAAGATCAGACACCCCAACCCGATACAACCTCTCCTCTCATATAAGTCATCCGTACAGGCCTGGCCTTTCACCAAAACCATGTACTATTACACCTCTCTACGACCTTCCACTTCAGGAGAGGCAGTACACCTGCGTACGAGGCCTACCATCATGCCACCTCTCAAATGCATAGCTTGACTACCAATTGTGTAACTGAATGTAGATGCTGTTATAAGTGACGATGCTCTGATACTATATAGACCAGGTGCATGAAGATGTCGATCGATCGATGGAATATAGCCTAGTAGTGCATACAGTAAGGGAGGACGGGGCAACCAAATCACCGAAACTGGCATGAGGATTGGACCTATTCAGGGAAGCTAGAAGGGGAGAGGAGAAAGAAAGACGATGTTTACAGCTACACGCAGTAGTAGTAGTAGTCCTGCATGGGGTCGTGGCGGAAGTGGCAGTCGGGGTTATTTGGGTTGGGGGGGGGAGGCATCTCCGGGGTGGGTGTTGAGCACACCTTGCAGACAGTGATATATAGAACGAGTCGGCTGGAATGAAGGGCACGTCATTGAGTAGATGTTGAAAGCCATTTTTGGGTGTTGTAGTGAAACAGACTCAGGTATGAAATCAAGTTTTGTCCATTCTATTCATCCTATGCATGCTATATGTGCAACAAGAAAAACAAAGATGCAAGTATGCTCACTCCAGTAATGTAAACCAAACAATAAACCGACGTAAAGACATGACATCCGGGCTCCAAATGCAAAGGGTATCTCTAGGGCAATCAGCTGCTCATGAGAACAAAGAAGATATGAGTAATAATGATGCAAACGAGGCAAAGCAAACATTCCAGGTCACACAAGTAGAGATAATAAGACGAGCAAACTCAAAACATGACACGAAACCACCCATTAGGATCATGCGTAAAATCAATGCGCAACGAAAAAGGACTCGCTAAATGCTGAATATGTGCTTGGATTAGTTGGGTAACTGATCTTGAACTGCAGGTTCGTCCATTCGGACTAAAGCCTTTGCAACCGCCACTCCGACGTCTTTGAAAAGATCGCGCATTATGGCTTCGCAGCTCCCAGGGGCGTCCTGCTGTTTGGCACCCTGGGCCCGAAACCGAGCAGATAGCCGGTCAATCAGTTTGCCGAAGGTGCTTTCAAAGTAAGACTCGACAAGCTTCCTTTTCAGGTGGGCGTTGTCGGCGTGTTCCTCGGCATAAGGACTGCCGGAAGGATGGCTCCCGGGGTCTACACGAATACGCTGGGCAGGACGCTCAGCGAAGGAATCGTCTAGCTCGCGAGGCCTTTTAGTCCCTTGTAAGGGTTCGTGCAGTGCAACAGAGGGCTGATGAGGTTGGGGCAGATAGGCCAGAGCCGGGTCCGTCAAGCCATCAGTACCAAACTCAGGCTGCTCTTCGCCATTTTTGGTTTTCTGGAAAACCAATCGACGCTCCCGCCGGACTTTGGAGCGAGACATCCAGTCCGCCAGAGGATCGACATACCCCGTCCATGTTCTCATGGCTTCCATGTCCTCCAACGGCGGGAGACTCTTCAACCAGACCAGAACCCGCTCGATTTTCGTCGAGATCTGTACCAACCCCTGCTCGGGCACCATCCGGACGGGCTCCGGGACCTGAGGGGGTTGAGGTTCTACTCTGGTGGGTAGTGCAACAGCCGCCCCCAGCGGGGCTTTGGCTGTCACATCCCGAGGTGTGTTGTATTTAACCAACCATGAAGTCAGTAGGTCCCAGACTTCAGTATCAATGTCTACACCCGGATACGGATCACCGTTCGCATACGCCTCCCAGTGGGCCTTTCGTTTCGAAATGTAGGTCTGAATACGGCGGCGGCATGACTGCCAGGAATAGCGACGTCCCGTTTGCAATTCAAGTTTGTTGGAAATTTTAATCCAGAAGGATTTCGGATGGTTGTGAGCATCGTCATCGTTCATGGACGCCGCGCACAAATTGACCAGGCACACCTGCTCGGGGACGCTGAGTTGTCTCCCACGGCCGGCGAAAGGAAGGGACTCTATCGGGGTAGATTTATCCAATGAGGCCGAGGGTTTAATAATGCCAACGACGGCTGCTTTGGAGGCAGTAGTGGAGGGGTTGTTCGGAGACTGCGGTGTGGTACCCCATTGATCGTGGTCAGGCCGCATGGGGTTGGGAGTGAAAAGGGCGGCGGTAGCAGGGTGGTTCATGGCTCGATGGGCGGCGGGGTTAGGAGTGCCGAGTGCCGGGTGCCGGATCCTCGTGGAGATGAACGAAGAAGCCAGCAGCGCCCAAAGAGACCTGTCGTGGAAGAGAGAGGAGAGGGGGAGGGAGAGGGAGAGGGAGAGGGAGAGGAGAAGAAATAGAAGGGAGAGAGGGTGTGAGGATGAAGATGAAGATGCGGGCGAAAAAAGAGGCAAAAACCGAAATAGGGAACCGGAAGGAGGAAGAGCGAAAGGCAAAATGATTAAGGCGACGCCCGCACCGCGTCCGCGTCAGCCCACGTGATCGGCAGTTGGGTACAAACGATTCCCTGATCCATCGCATGATGCCGGTCGGGTTTTGCCCCCTTCAGCCCACATTCTCATCTTATATTAGTCGAGAGGAAGTAGTCAGGGTTTAAATGCTTCTATACAGGCAATTGCACAAGATGACTTCTTAATCCCGATCCCGAATAATGAAAGTTGGGGAAAAAAAAGAAGGAAAAAAGGAGAAGCACCAAAATGGTTTAAGTCGACGGAGTACTTTGGCCGGTCCGCGTATCATATTACCGCATCGGGAGATCGCCTCGTGATCTGCTTCTCGAGTCCCTTTTGGGAGTAAAGAAAAAGTAAAATAATAAAAAAGAAAAATAAAATGATAAGGCGAGTTTCAAATGGCATCTCCATCCCCCCAACTCACGCTCTCCTCCTCTACCTCTTTCCCCCTCTTTCGCCTTCTGCTGTACACTTCAACCTCGGCTTGTCTCACTCTCTAACCAACCACTTAGTGCCTCTCCGCACTGATCTCCCTCGGAAGGGTTACCCGCCCGTTCCCGCTCGACGGATCCGTTCAGCCGACGCGCTCCTCATGCATTCATTCCACTCATCGTGGTTGAGCTATGAGCTATATGAGCTATGCTGGGCTGCCCTGGATTGCTTCGGCTCCGGCGGGCTGATCCTTCTTTCACTACCCCCTGCTATGGATAGGCTAGTGTTTAGCTCCCGGGAAATTTAATTATTGAGGTTCAGACTCCAGCCGATGATCTTCGTTAGTGCATTGCGCGAACCCATGGCTGCCTCTCCGTCATGGGCCGTGATTTGTCAAATCCGCGTGCGGTTAAGGTGGTACATCTGGGACATGTGAACTTACCGTGAGTGCTTCGTCCATGTCATTCGCCCTGTGGGGTAATCCAGACTCTTCTGATCCCTTACGTGGAGCAACGTTCAGGTCAAAAAGGACCTCCCACCCCTCGTGCCTGTCCTCGCAAGCCAAGCATTGAAAATTCTCCTCAAATCTCCTATCCCCCTTATCACTCTCCGACCAAACAATCTCTATATACTACTAGGCGACTATACGTGCAGGCGAGCAAGGATGTCATCACGAGTTCGACCCAACCTGCTGGATGTGGTTTCCTCTTTGTCCTCCGTCCCGGGGACGCGGAACCAATATGCCGTGAAGATTACACGGGACTGGTGTACCCAACAGTACGTCCGTTTGACAGCCGCATCCTTGCTCCATCACTCGAAGGGCTGAGTTGACCAGAGCAGCTCTGTCCTTGGGGGGTTCTCTACTGCGATTATGCTGGCCGCCGGTCAAAGGTTCCTCGACCAGGAACTTGGCGTAGGCCGGTTTCCCGACCCCGTTCATGCGTTCGTCCAGTTTCTACACATGGTTCACCCTGGCCCGTCAATTATTACTTGTACGTTTTTACGAATGTCCAAGAAACAATCCGTTCTACAAGTTGAACTCGCGCGTGCCCCTAAGCCGGGAGAGGACTCCGACTCTTACCCAACTACTACTCTCGGTATCTTCACCTACGGCGATATCAGCAAAGAAAAGGGCCTCACGCAAGAAACGCGGCCGATAATCACTCGACCACCCCCTGATCGACTGACGGAATGCGTTACTATCGATGACCCCGTCGTCAGTTCCACCCCTGTGACCGCGAAGATGAACTGGGTCGCCCCACGATCTCCACAGGGACTCTGGGGCCACCGCCTCGGCGGCCACAACCGCGAGGTCTGGCTGTCCTTCCGCGACGGCTCCAAACTATCTGACGTATTACATCTGGCGTATCTTTCCGACTTGGTAAGTTGCGGTTCTTCGCAACATTCTTCTAGCTGTGCTAACACGCCGCACTGCGGTAAGCCCCTGCAGCCACCAGCAACCCATATTCCGGACTTTTACGCTAAATATGCCATCTCCACCCTGTGTCTGTCGATCGAGTTCAAACGGCGGCCCGACCCGTCCACTGACTGGATCATGGTCCGCTCCAATTCCAACAAGGTCTCTAATGGCCGGTATGATGCTGCCTTGCAACTATTAGATGAGAGAGGGAATCTTCTCGCCTTGAGCAATCACGTTGTATTTACCTCGGACTTGAAGCCGAGGCCGGCTCGGCTGTGAGTGGGGCTGTGGATCTTTTAGTATTTGAGCTTAGCGTTAGTCATTATCACTGCAGTATGCGATGATAAATTCAAAAGCGAGGTTTTTCTGAAAAAAAAAGAAAAATAAATAAATATAATAATAAGATGGATGCACATTAATCTGTAGTTACAAGTATGCATTACCGGCACAATGGATCGGTTCCCACCTTGATTCTCCAAGGGCAGAACATTCTGGATTGAAGCGATCATGCCATCTGCAACAATACTTGAGGGGGATAGGCACCTCTTTTAACTACATATGATTCAGTCATACTAGCTGTGGGACATCGGGTTACGACTAATATGATAACTGATATTTTGAGTGCCTAGGGGAATTCCTGTTCTGTTCAGATACAAAGACATCATTGATCGTGTCAGTAACTTATAGTAGTAGATTACCTAGTCGAACCAGCACTGCAAATTCATACCAGTAGCGGTTATAGTATCAACAGTAAAAATATGTATGTTACTCCTAGGACATTAGTGCTTTATCTTCGAATTCTCGAGTGCTATTTCTAGTCATTCAGACTGCGAGCAGTGCCTGCATATGAAATACATAATGAGATAGTATACTATTTAACATCTCCGTTGAATGAAGAAGCGACTGTGCGTAATAAACATCAATATCACTGCGTGCATTGAAAGAACTGAAGATAGGCCAGGTATGCTAGTAACTACAAGGAGAATTTGATGTATTATGTGACTTGTATGAAAGAAGAGTACAGGGAACGCCTTGCCAGTGAAAAATATACCCTAGAACCGAAACCAAGGAAAGCTAGAAGGGACACGCGAAGAAGAATCGCATCGACTTCTTCCAGAAACGAGATGAAACAGCAGTCAGTAATATGACTTTCTTTTTTATGCGACTTCTGCCCAAGGGTCATCCATTTCGTAGGCTGAGCTACTACTATGAGCGAACCCGCCTATACTGGATAGGCCGAGACTGGCATCGTTGTTGCTTCTGCTGTTGCCAAAGACGCTTGATGTTGACGAAGTAGTATTCGTATCGTTGAGCCGCCTGCCGGACTCGGATGATACGCCCGTTTGCTTTTGCTCTTGTTTAACAGTTGAGCTGATTACATTGCTCACGCTGAAGCTAGGATAAGAAGGGAAGCTTGATGTGGAGACATAGAAGTCTTCGGCCTTCCCCGTTGTAATTGCCGGAGGCGAAGGAGGCATTTCAATGATCTCGACATCGCTTTCGTCGGAAGCAGGACCTGCCGTTGTTGAGATTTGCGCAGACCTGGACTCCGCTTTGAGGGTAGGTTTGAGATCGGTCTTCTCATCATCGAGCATGTCATCTTCCAGAGAAATTGCATCCATGATAGACTGTCCTGCTTTGCTTGAACCGGTTCCGCTTCGGGTTGGCGTTATAAAATTGGCGGGTGTTCTGGGAGTGGGTCTCCTTCGAGATGAGGAAGAGGAGACAGGCTTCTGGATCCCATTGCGGCCCATACGAGGTGTTCGTGGAGCAGGAGAGGCAATACTGCCGGTAGTGGATTTTCGGGTCTTCGCAACGGGAATATCAGTGATCCCCCGTTCTATGGCTTCCTGTCGGAGTTGGTCGGCGAATGTGTGGACTTTCCGGAAGCGGTTTTGAATTGCGTCGTACGTTGCTCCCTGTCCGAAGTAGGCGGCTATGGCATTATAGTCGAGCTTGCTGGAACGTTAGTGGGATACAGCCATGGGGGAATGAGACTGCCGTACCTTTAGACTCGGATGGGCTACGACGAGCGCCGCACAGAGACGGTCGGCTGACTCGGCTTGTTTCCAATTGACCATTGTGCTTTTAGTGTTTTGCGTGGGATGCCGATTGCAAATTTTCAGAGATGAGAACGTGCGAGATGATTAGGTTAGATCCTGTTGTGCGAAGTAAAAGAAGTCTTAGTAGAATGATGCCAGAGACTGTGTGAAGGTAACACACATATTGAGTCCCCAGATGTTCAGTGAATGTCAAGTCATGATGGCTAGCCAGTCTTGAGACCACAGCTATGACAGCCAGTCAAACAGACAGCCGGGCGACAGGTCAGAAAGTTGGTTTGGGGACCACCCAGACACTGAGATTTAGTGACATGACTTTTATTGAGCTGACAGGCTATACCCCGCAGACCCAAGGGAAGGGGAAGTACCTCTCTCTCATTTTCTGTGGAAGACTGTGTACTGCTCCACTGAAATCTGTGGGAAGGGAAGAGAGTGGTACCTGTCCACTGCCCACAGAGTTGATGTGTAGATTCCACCAGAGGGGAAGAAAGGCCAACTGGCTGCACAGGATCCCCACAACAGCACCAGATCCGATCAGTCATTTGGAACAGTAGATAGAACAGATTTTAGTCTGAAACAAGTCTGCATCCGATCCACGGCCGAGTTCGGGGAAGTTTTGTTGCAGCATCCGCTGCAGCCAGAGAGAAAAAGGTCAAGTGGATAAGATAAGCACATGCAGGAACATCCACCCTGATGACAGGAATCACCAAATCCAGCATATCTACAGAATACCTAGTGAAATAAAGTGCGCAGAATACACTGGATAGAGCCCGACCACAACCGGTGCTGAAGTAACCAGATGCATCTCTACAGTAGACTACAAGTAATGCATGAATAATGAGATAACCGGTCAACGTCGCTTGGAAATCGCTAGTCACTGTGTGAACCACAGCTATTCACTATAGAAAAGTGAACACAGGAAAAAATGTATTTTCACATACCCTGAGCTGCTTTCCACTCCTTCCATTTCTTGTAATCTGTTCTGGTCTCTTGTCAAATTCTCCTCCTTCTCTTAACTTTTCTCTTCCTTACATATTCGCTCTGCTTCTGTGATTAAGACTCTATTACGACTTCGTCTCAATTCTACTTCTTCGAAGTATATTGCAGCTCCTCTATACATACATTAAAAACCTTATCTGCACGAGGAAGTAACAACCATGAAGTGGACTCCTGAGAAAGATCAGCTTGTAAGTCTACTCCTCTTTCCCCTCTTCCTCTCCAACACACAACCTACACCATCTATACTCTTTCCACCACCTACTACTACTGTACCCATTCTACCCCTTTCACACCATACCACACCACATCAACCATCTTCCCCATCCTCCCCACCAACAAACAAACAACTCACCCACGAATTCCAGCTCCTCCTCAAAATCCTCGAAACCCACTCCCTTTCCGTCGACGCCAAACGCGTGGCCGAAGCATGGCGTAAGTCTATCCCCCCCCCCCCCCTCCTTTCCCACTACTTACCCCAATCCAACCAACCAAACCCAAACTAACCACCACAAACCAGCTAAATCCCTCGGTCCGGACATGCCCACCCCGCGCGCCATCTCCGAGCGTCTCGTTCGCATGCGCAACACCGCTCGCGAGTCCAGCGGCATGGAGGGACACTTTTCCATCGGAAAGGGGCTCAAGACCGGGAGTCCAATGACCAAGTCTACTGCTAGTGTCGCTTCCAGCCCTGCTTCTGTCTCTACTCCTTACAAGTTGCGCATCAGTAATGCCAGGAAGGGGTCGGCTTTGAAGAGGAAGCGCGATGACGACGATGGTGATGATGATGAACTTGAGGATGGACATGTGGGGGAGTATACGCCTACCCCTGCTAAGATGAAGGTGGAAGGAGGTAGTGATACTGAAATTGAGAATGGGATGGAGACCCCGACCAAGGCCATGAAGGGGAAGGGAATGAGCGCGAGGTCCTCTGCTCAGTTGAAGAAGGAGGTGGTTGACTTGGAGAGCGAGGCGGAGGTTGCTCCTGTGAAGCGTGTTCGTAAGGCCAGTGCGCTTGCGCCTGGAATGGTGGAGTGGAAGGATGAGGATGATGACGGGGAGGGGGAGAGCTCGGCCAGCGAGTATGTGCCTGAGGTGGTGGTTAAGGGAGAGGGGGTTTACAGTGCTGAGGAGTTTGATGATGGCGATTTGTATGATGCTTAGGTTTGCAGGGTCGGTTTATGGAGGTGGTTGGGGATTTGAAGATCTGGTGGATGAACTGGACAGTTGCTAATGAAGTTATGAGGATTCTGCTTTTCATACCATGTACTTTAATTACTTCCAACGCGAGTGAAATTTGCAAATGAGAACACCTAGCTCAATTTCAATAGATCGGATACCACTTATCCTAAGGTACAATCACCACCCAACCCGACGCCCTTTCCATCCTAAGCAAGCATCCAGCAAATGAAAAGAAAACAGCCAGTTACATAACCATCAACTCCCCCAAATCACCCAATTCATTCCCTCAACCACAAAGCATCTTAAAATAAAGAAGCCACAAAGAAGCAAGAACCCCAACACCATCAAGCATCATCCTCCTCCTCGCCCTTAACAACAGGACTCTCCTGCACCCCCTCACCAACACCACCTTCCTCAGCCCCAGGAGTCTCAGGAACACCAAGCTCCTCGTCATCATCATCACTACCCTCCTCCTTCTTAACAACCGCAGGAGTAGCAGTAGCAGTAGCAGTACCATCAGCCTTCTTAGCCCGCTTAGCCTTAGGCTTCTTAGCAGCGCCAGCACCAGCACCAGCACCAGCAGCCGCAACAGTATTAGTATTAGTATTAGTAGTAGAAGTACTAGCTTCACCACCCCCAGCAACGGGGTTCTTGCGGGGCCGGCCACGCTTTCTTTTCTCGGGAGTAGCGGGGGTAGGAGTAGTGGGTGTCTCGTTTCCCGGGGAAGTCATGGTAGTAGTACTAGTCGCAGTAGTACCAGTCGCAGGGGACGAGGCGGTACCGCCGGGAGTAGAGGTTGAAACTTTGTCCTTCAGACGCTGAATGCGATGTTGGACGGCGGAGACGGTGCAGCCTAGGGTATGTGTGTTAGTATGTATGCATGTATGTATGGATGGATGGATGGATGGTTTTGGGGAAGAAAGGGAAAGACACATACCGGGACCCATGAATTTGGCCAGGGCGTGCATGTCCAGTTTCACGTTCGTGGTGGATAGGATGCCGACGAGGAGCTGGGTCAGGATGTGTTAGTTGGTATTGGGTTGGGTTGGATTTGGGGTGAGAAGGGGGTGGTCGTACTTTAGCGTCGTTGGTCTCGTTCCAAGTCATGGGCATTTTGGCGGTTTGGGTTTGGTAGTCTTAAGGTTTGTTGTGGTGTGGGGAGAAGGTAGATAGAGAGGGGAGGATTGTAGTTAAGTTGGAGTAGGGACGGATGGAAGGAGATATAGTGAGATGGAGAGAGGAATTGTGGTTGAGGAGGCGAGAAAGGGGAAAGTAGGAAAAGATGAGCGAGGGGATGGCGAGAGCTGAGAAAGTGTTCTACTCCAGAAGGTTTGTGGGTTGAGGTGGGGGTAAGGGATTTTGATTTGATAGTTACATTCACTTGGAGTATCACCAGTGTTAGGACTTAGTTTTTACTATTAGGTTCTGAGTTGGATGTGATTTGATGTTTGTGGGAGGTTTGCATTGCAATGCGATTTATTTGATTGTGACTAGCTTGGATATCATTATATGGACACTGGTTGAGCCATGGCGCGGTGGTATCATCAAAACATGACAAGAAATAAAGTGAGAAGGGCGCAGAAGAAATAAGAAATCTCAGCTTGCCTTCTCGAAGATAAATTTGTTGTATTCCGCCGGATGATAGGATGAGAAATAGTCGTTATATCGCAGCTCCTCCCGGCTCTTCTGAGCTGTTTTCAAGTCGTCAAACTGTCGGAAAAGCCGGCCAAGCGTCACATACAGCTCGCAGTATGCAAGCCTACACATGTCAGTACAGTTCAATCTCACATGTGAGGTGACCTACGGCATCCCGATACATTGTCTAGACCCCTTGCCGAAAGAGAACAAGTACTTCTCAAGAGACTTGCCAATTACTGGATCAGTCCATCGGTCTGGGTCAAAGGTTTCCGATTGTGGGAATAAATCTTCGTTGTGATGCATTGTCCATGAGCTCATGCTGACAACAGTCTTAACATATGTTAGCGGATTGACAATTACAGTGGCAAGCTCGATGCATACCCCAGGAGGAACATGATAGCCATTGAACTCAGCTCCGACGTCAGGAACGACTCGTGGTAGTCTACCAGGGACTCCACAGGATAGCCTAGATTGAAGTGAGCGAATGTCTTTCCCGGTTCACCAGGAATCACATCACCTTAGAGCCTCCTTGATAACAGCGGTCTTTCAACGTTAGCTATAGTTATATCAATGGATATCTCAGGCGCATACCAAGTAGGGCAATCTTTCCAAATCCACAAAGTCTATTTGCCCTTCCGGATCAGGAAATGCCTGCTTCAGCTCCTCCGTTAAGCGTTTGTAGATTTGTGCATTCCGAACAACATTGTAGGCAGCAATGGTGAGCGCATTTCCAGTTGTGTCTGCAGCCGCAGCCAGCATGATATAGGCCTCGTCTTCCAGCTCCTCCACCGTGGGCACCACATGACCTTCAGTAGCCTCCGGGTGAAGAAGCTGGTGAAATATAGTTGCTCGGCTTCCTTTCTCGCCCCGATCAACAGCGTCCTTCACCTTCAATATTTGGCGACGAGAACCCTAGGAGACGTCAGCCCTGATAGGTGAAAGGAGACATACGACCAACCTCACGATGCAACATCATCCTCGTCAAAGGTTCACTAGTCAACTTAGCCAACCAGAACGGTGTGCCCAGTGAAAGCCCCTGTATAGCCGGGAATTGCTGAAAGAACCAAAATGCCGGACCAAAACCTCGGATCATGTCAAAGAACTCAGCGCCAAAGTTTCTCTTGTTGAGAAAGCCGTAACAATTCCCAAAGGCGTAGTCACTGATGACATCCACAGAGATAGCTCGAAAGGCATGATGCAGGTCAATACAGCCGGTCGAGCTGAAAGACTCCCTCATGCGCCTGACCAGCTTGTCTGCCTTCTCCTGCACAATATCCTCTAGCTCTAGCACCTTTTTGCGCGAAAAGAAGGGGTTCAAGGCCGATCGCTTGACTCGATGTACGTCGGGGCTTGGTGCCGTAAAAGTCGCCTTGTGGGTGCCGAACGCGCCATAGAACTGAGGGTCCTTGCCATACCGTGATCCTATGTAGTAGATCTTCTCGCAGTTTTCAGGGTCGCTGAGGTGGATCTCGTCAGGTGTGATGCGGACAACGGGGCCTACGCTGCTTAAGTAACCGCTGCGAGCAGGAGGGAGTCAATCATATCACATGGCAGAATGAACATACCATATTGCTCATGCAGCTTTTGAACCTGAAGATAAAAGGATCCACCTTGCATGTTATACCAAAAGGCATACAGATGCGTGGCCCGAGCAAGAAGTGGGCCCGGTAGATGGGCCAGGGGGTGGAAGAACAGCCGGTACACGATCGTCCAGATGCATCGTAGGATGAGCAAGATAGACAGGACGGAAACCGTGAGTAATAATACATGGATTGAAACCATGGCGGGCAGATGGCCTGGATCAAGCCTCATGTAGGACCCGGGAGGGAGATAAGGTGAACACCCTTGTCAGAGAGATCTTCCACTGCTTTAAATGGGGGATATCGGGTGACCAGAAACCCTATTACCCCATTGATGCCACGCGAGTCTTACCAAGCCTGAATAGTGATGGCAATCATCAGAGGGTCCTACCTCATGGGGAATTGAACGAGCAGACCCCGCAAGGGGGCCTAGCCTGGATGGGAATGGGTGAGCCGTCGGTTGGGTTAGAAAGACGAGCAAGACGGACTACTAAGAAGATGACATCAAGTCATGCGCTGTTCAGGCCTCGGTAACAAACTTCTCTGTGGCAGGTCCAAGCATCTTGACTCGCCTTGGAACCGCATCCGGTGCGAGAAATGGGCTCTTTCCAGCATACGTTCGGCATACATGAGGTAGGGACAACAGGTCATACTAGTCCTTCAGTTGCCTTCTGCAGTGCAGCCAGCAAAAAGCAATGGACCCAGTGGTCTGGTCCGAATTTCCGGCTGCAGAATTGCAGAATGTCCCGGGAAAAGGGTTAATCTAGGCTCTTGGCGAGGATTGACATTCTTCAGACCTGTCATCGGCTGAACAAACCTAAGGCCCCATATCGAATTATCTGTCAGTTAATTCTAAACGGCCGTTACTGCTAACGGCTGGCTTCTAGTTAAATTAGCGGCGTATGCGACCAGTATCTGTGGTCCAAGTGGCCGGGTCTGACCCACGGCGAGCGATGACAAGGACAGCAAAGACAAGGGAACGAAAGACGCGAATAGTAAAAGAGGCATTTAGCATAATAGGAAGACAATAGTACAATGAAAACCGGCCGGGCGGGTCGGAGGTCAATCCGCGTCCCGTCATTTCCAAAAGTCCCCAATAGACGTGCCATGACTGGTCAATGGGTCTATTTCCGGGTGGAGCTCAACTCTGATTCTGCGGGTGTGCGGCCTCCAGAAAGATCGTCTTCTGACCATCCCCAGGAAGTCAATGCCCCTACAGTGTATGGTTGCAGGTTTGCAGAGAAAAAGAAGACCGGTGGATGGGATGCACAAGGCGGCCAGGCAGACAAGACTGTGAGAGAAACAAGGAATGCCACCCAACTAAGACTGCTCTACTCGGGGAAATAGTATCATCATCATCAGACAATGGTGAGCATATTCGTGCAACCAAGGTTTGTCCGAAACCGTGCAGGACCCTAAAACATAATTGGGGTCGAACTGCAATCATTGGATGTGCTCCAGCTACACCGGCCGCCGTCATCCCCCGGTCGCCTCCACCATCCAAGCTCCCGACAACCAATCGAAGGCGCGTGCAACGCATACTGAGCAGGACACCAACTCACAAGTCCACATTAAACCCAAGCATTCCCGGCCGCCCCGGCCTTTCATGGCGGGGGACGTCGAGCCCCGATTCGCACACCTCTGCCAGACTAATCCTGCCTGCTTGCAGTAGTCTCCTACGCACTGCATTTCCTCGGTTCTTATTCCAGTCAGCCGTGCCGCAGTACATTTCGTCCCAAACTCTAATAGGCACTTGTAGGCTTTTGTCCATACACCCCAACCCTGTTGTAACCCAAATGGAATAGTCCTGAGTTAGCTTCGTGCTCGTCCAGTCCAGAAGGTTAAACACGACTGTATCTTACACGTTGAAGTATGCGTGAGTATTCGGATCACGGAGGCCTTTGCGCATCTGGGCCAAGAAAACCTGCACTTCGGGATAGGTCCACTGAATCCAGTAAGGATTGTCCTGTCAGCCCATGTCCGATTGGCTGCTGTCAAGGGCGGGTGGTGCGCAACGCAGATACGAGGTATAACCCTCTCAGACACACCAAAGAAGAAAGCATGCTCAAGTGCTTCATCATCGACTTGCAAATGAAGGGTGGACTTACTCCCATGACTCGGGTCAGCAGCGCCATGGCCCATCCTTCAATTCCCTGCTCACAATGAACCAAGTTCCACATGCCTAGTTTCTTCAGCCTTTTGTCTCGACTCCACTGACCGACAGGCAACTTCATGCGGTGTTCCGTCACGTTGTGAAATCCAGCCTGCTGCATATAGCCCTTCGCAAGATCGGCAATGCGAAAGGTCTTGCCAAACTTCTCGCCTGCCTCAATGAAAGTCTTCGACCAGACAGCTAGAACATGGTCGTCTGTCACCGTGCCATCATCCGATCGAAATTGTATGGACATCTCGAGTTGGTCAAACCAGCCTCCAGGCCGCAAGCGACTGGAAAAGCGATGAGTAACGCAACGTGCAACCGGAAGTATCGTTGAGGGACTAACCTGAGAACATTCTGATAGAATGCGGGCCAGTCCGCGATCGCGCCATACAGTGCACGAACGTGGATCAAATCGAAATGGTTCTCTGGATAGACCCAGTCTTCCGTCGCGTCGTCAATCTCGAACTGTAGATTGGGTGGTACAAAACCAGGCTGTATGGGTGACAGATCGGTGCCAATGACCTGTGCTGAAGGATATTCATCTGCGAAATCACTGGATATGGGATGATCAGATATGCTCAAATTGGCCCATCTTACAATTGCTTCTACTCACATGGCCCAAATCCCTGTGCCAGTGCCAACATCCAGCGCTCTCTGTCATGCAGAACCTCAGCGTTTGCCATGATTGTAAATGCCGGATTCGTGCTACTTTTGACATACCTGTATGTTGTCGCTGATCGGCGCAAGTAGTAGTTTACCATCGAGAAGCAATGTAAACATATGATGACTGTTACCAGCATTAGCCTGCGCATTGAGGCAATTTCATGAAGCATACGCAATATCTAGTTGCTCGTTTTGCATATCATCATTAGGCCCCCTGCGAATTGATCAGGATAGTGTGCACACCGAAGCTACCCAACAATAGTCATACCAATAAGCCCCTTCTTTATAGGCGTGATAGCGTCGTCCATTTTCAAATCGGTAGGAGGTGATCTCAGAGTTCAGCGACGTTGTATCGCTCGCGCTAAACACTGTAAGCATGAGGGGTCGATGGTATGGGCGATCGATAAACTTACAAATCTTCTGCATAGTCCGAGAACTCTTCTTCAGGCTCTGCCTCGTCCTGGTGAGACTAAGTCAGCCGGCAATTGGAGAAAGCAAAGGTCGGCAATCAGCGGTAATCAGCGTACCGAGTCTGAAGATTCACCATCAAGATGCCCTGCGACGGGCGCAGCGCTCTGGGATACGTTTTGTGGAGCCGAAGCCAAAGATGAGGTGGGCTGTGGGGGGTCATTAGCGGCAGCCCCTTGAGAATCGGGGATGGAAAAGGATTCCGCCATGGGGTCCAATTTCCGGGAAGCTCGTAGCGAAGTCGAGGAATAATGGCTGGGAAAGGAGACAACCTCGTGGGTCAATATGGGGTAAATTCAAACTACTAGGTCGTGTGTATCGAGAGAGGTGGATGACATTCGATCGGGGTCGACTTTCTGATTCCTGCGCTGTCAGGGTTGTTCCTTTTAAAGAGAGGGGGCTTCCCGCTTCCCGATTCGTGGCAAGCTGCAACTAGCTGAGGCGGTACTATTTGATTAGACTACTACCACTTCAGGTGCTAGGCTGCCTTCCTCGAATTCCCCTTGGAGATAGTCGTCACGATAGTAGCCCAGGACTAATTTCCCCCTTGTAAAGATGATCTTTTTTTCGCCACTCGTATCCTGTCAGCGGGCATCGAATGCAGAAAAGATGCAGATGGAACGGAAGAGCCTTCACACGTTTCGATGTCTGTCTATCCTATTCACGCATGGGTGGGGACTCAAAAGTGGGCTGATCGAAGGACTTGTCGCCGCTTACTTGTGTAGCCCCAAATGCACACGATTCAGAAAAATTCTCTGTACATCCGGAAGTCCTCGGCGATGCATGAACAACGATGCAAAAGGATCTCTCTTCCGCTTGGCTCACGGGTCAGTCCCCACTTAAAGTAGGTGGATCGGCAACGTGTAAGCGTCTAGACATTACTCCCTGCAACGTCTTGTTCATAATCTGACTCATGCTCAAAATACCCTGTATAAATATTACTTTCTGGAAGTGTCTGAGCATCTGGAGGACGTTGTCTCGTACCGAACAACACGGATACCGAAACACCTGTCGGCAGTACAGCCACCCATTTTGATATATCATGTATTCCCAAGATGCTTCTGGCTCTACTTGTGTGTTGAATAAGGGAGGTATAGATGCAAAATTAAGATTAAAATGCGGTGCAAACGCTTTTCTAGCATGCGGGTATGGCCCGTGCATGCGGCCGGCCGCTTCATGTCCTACTTAGTACTTTATATACCAGTAACAACTAAATAGATTGAGACTGCAGTACTAGGCCAGAAATCCCGTGGAAGTGCCCAGGTAACTTATCCCAGGCCGGAGCACTTGATTATGAGATAATTGAAAAAGCAAGAATGCACAGCTGGCCGTGATTTGGGTCATTCCAGCAGTACGGAGTGGACTGTTAACAACATATGCAAGAGATAGAAACTGGAATGTGTTGCACTTAAGCTTGTAAATATTATCTCTTCATTTTATGATACTTCTTCTCCCGTTCTCTATTGTCCGCCTAAGCTGTGGCGATCTGAGATCGCTTTGATCGCTCTGCAGCAGAAATGGATGTCCCTGAAGAGATCAAAGACAAAGAGAAGGGGCCATCAGCGATGAATGGGGGTTTCTCTTATATGGTATCTAGGATTATGGACTGATATAACTATCAATGCCATACCAGATATTCATCATGAAGAAGATGGTTACTCCTGGCAATGATGAACTAGTCCACATCCTCTGTCTATCCAAGGCTTGGCCGAGTATTTCCATCAAAGCAATGGGTAGGCATACAAATCGAATTCAAGCACAATTTATGTATATTTCTTTTAGTGTCTGCATAGTGTTGATGAGACTTTGCTGTCCAAATACGATGGTGTTGTCCATGGACAAACCCCGCAACGGCACCGTGCATATGATGGATCCTGTTTTCTTTTGAAGTGGGAAGCCTCACCCCTGTCGAGTCTTCTTCCCCCGCCTTTTCTCAGCCTTTGGTATACTACGACGCCAGTGTTACAAGAAAACTAGCACATACTTGCATTTATCTCCCTTGTTTTCTTACATACTTACCGACAACTGACCAGTGACACAAATATGCGACCCCGAATGCGTTTCGACGATGTGGCCTGGGAACAAGCCGAGGAAGTATCAGACAATTGACTGCTTTAATTCCTCGATTATGACATCCTGAGGCCGATCGGATCGTCGCATCTCGAAGCTCTCGCGGATCTCAATCTTGAGCATCTCATCCACGAAAGAAACGATGCCGTGGGCTCTGCAGACGATTGCCGACGAAGATTTGTGGCGAGGCAGCTTTTTCGTGAACTTGCCAGGGACAAGCGACTCAACAGTCCTGCGCTTGACAAGGGGCCATTCAGACTATGGTGTGATGATTTACGCCCAGCTAACGTGCTTCTGCATGGTAATTATAAACTTGCTGGCGTGGTCGGTTGGGAGTTCACATACGCTGCACCCGCCGAGTTTTCCTATGCGCCTCCTTGGTGGCTGCTCATCGAGAAACCCGAGTACTGATCAGAGGGTCTCGAAGACTGTATCGAAACGATCGACTTCCGACTGAAGATGTTTCTTAAGGTGATGAAAGAACATGAAGACAATGCGATACAAAATGGTCAATTGACGGAGTCTCAACGGCTGTCGAACCACATACGTGAGAGCTGGGAAAGTGGGGGCTTCTGGGTTATGTATGCAGTAACGCATAGTTTTGCCCTTGATGCGATTTATTAGCAGAAGATAGAGCCACGCTTTTTCGGACCTACGGAGGACTACGAGGAAGTATGGAGAGAGAGAGTTGATCTGCTAGATGAACATGGAAAAGATAAGATGGAAGAATTAGTGTCTCTGAAGTTGGAAGAAATGCAGAGCAGAGTTTTGGCTTGGGACCCGGACGAATATACGATGGCCTTTCACCAGCAATTGAAGGAGCGGAAAGGGAAGGAAGATGGAGGGATAAGCGAAGGGGACTAGAGGAGAAAGACTCGAAGGTAGGTATTTACTATATAAAGCCCACGCAAGGGAGGAAATGCGTTGTGTGGGGGATGTGGGGAAGAAGAAGAAAAGAAGCAGCAGCTGTGTGATGTATATTCCATTA